TTTTTAACTTCTTAATATGTTTTTCTGTTTTAAAGGAATTCCCTAAATGATGATAATGAAGGATGGAGGGGTGAGGGAGGGATCCAAATCAATAGTTACATATTGTTTAGTATAAAGAAAGTCTTAGGTCATTGCAAACAATTTCGGAAATGGAGAGTATACTCGGCAGCTAGCTTTCCAACGATAGGAGAGAGATGTTAGAAATGTCATGAGTTGGCACTTCGCTGTCAGTTCACTGAATAAGGGTGATTCGATGGCAGCATTTCAGCATTTCTGCTTAAGAAAGTGCTGGTTTCTTAAAACAACTGTGAGGCCCTCTCCTTTCCATACTTCCTAAGATGCTGATTCTGTTAACACAACTCTGGACCAAGGCAGGATTATTATAAGCTACCTGGAAGCTTTTTGCCACCCACGGCCTCAGGGGAGACCAGACCACGATGAAAAAAGTGTTGCTTGATTAAGAACAGGAGGTTAATTCAACCAAATGATTAGTTTGGTGCCACTAAAATCCATTCCGGTGCTCTGAAGTAGAAAACAGGTGCATCAGACTCAATTATCCAGCCCAAGTCTGGGCTGGCAAAATTTAACCACAGGGTTTTCAAAGACAAGGGTAAGTACAGTGACCTTCAGGGCTACATCTGTGAAATAATTTTTTTTTTTTTGTAGTTTTCAGGGTTTCGAACCCTTTAGTGGTAACTTCCTGTGCTATCTCCATTTCCTTATTCCTACTGGCAACAGGGAAGGGGGCCTAGTACACAATGCATAACAAGCTACTCAAGTGACAAAGGAATTGTAATGGCAGATGCATGACATTCATCTTTCCCTTAAATAATGTCTCTGATTTGTAGCTTAATCAATCAAATCAAAGGGCAGTTCGACTGCAGTATACCTTAACTGCTGGAAGCCAAGGTAACAAACAATGAACAGAAAAAGAATTCCCTGCCATTAGACACAGAAACTGGTTTTCCATACCTTTCAGAAACTGTTCATTTGTTCCCCCCTCAAACGCAGCATACTAACATTTCAGTTCTGTTGCACATTTCAAGGACTGGCTACTTAGGTTCCAAATTCCCTAGTTAAAAGCTCCTCACTTTTTTTTGAGACAGAGTCTTTGTTCTGTTGCCCAGGCTGGAGTGTAGTGGCGCAATCCCAGCTCACTGCAACCTCCACCTCCCGGGTTCAAGTGATTCTACTGCCTCAGCCTCCCTGAGGCTGGGATTATAGGCGTAAACCAGCACGCCTGTGTAATTTTTGTATGTTTAAGTAGAGACGGAGGTTCACCGTGTTGACCAGGCTGGTCTGGAGCTTCTGACCTCAAGTGATCCACCTATTTCATCCTTTCAAAGTGCTGGGATTATAGGCATGAGCCACTGGCCTAAAAGCTCTTCACTATTGTTCTCACTCCCAAATCAAGTGCCTATGTCAGCAGGACTATTACTATTCAGGCTGCTGTGACCCTGCTCTTGTTCTGTTTCACTTACATGTGGCTCAAAAGGACTAGGTATTGTCTTTTTTTTTTTTTTTTTTTTGTAGAGACAGGTTCTTGCCCTGTCATTCAGGCTACAGTGGCACAATCATGACTTACTGCAGCCTTGACTACCTGGGCCCAAGCAATCCTCCTGCCTTAGCCTTCCAAGTAGCTAGGACAAAAAGTGTGAGCCACCACACCCAGCTTGCTTTTTTTTTTTTTCAATGTAGAGACGGGGTCTTGCTGTGTTGTCCAGCCTGGTCTCAAACTCCTGGCTTCAAGTGATTCTCCCACTTCAGCCGCACAAAGTGCTGGGATTACAGGCATGAGCCACTGCACCCAGCCTGTGTCTGATTAAAGAGAAATCTTTTAGCTTGGCCAACTCTTCTACACAAGGCCACAGACATGGCAGTGTCCCAGTGTTCCAAAGATGGTCCTTTTTGGCAGATGTGGGAAAGGTTAGCTGCATTTGGCTAAGCATGTTGGCAAGGAAAGCAAAGCTTCCAGATCAGCAGTACCTCTTGAATCAAACTTTTATTTAAATATAATTTTTAGAAATTCAAACAAAAAGCTAGGTGCATATAAGATACAGAAAACCCTTTTGTTTTGTCAAGAATAATGCAATATATATTTAGAAGGTGTCCACAAAGGTATTCTTAAAAATGAATGGGTGAAGTTCCCCAGAATGCTGTTGAGAATACAGTACCACTGTCTGCTTAAAGATGGGTGAAAAAGTGGTTTTTGGAGGGATTCTAGGCATTAAGCTTTGCAAAGTTGGGTTTACTAAAGAAATAAAACTCATACATATTTATGAGTTTTCTCAAACTGCTATGTAATTTGGCCTCTGATTCTTCAATGGAGATTTTTTCTCTTGTTACATACCTACATATTTCCTAAAGCTAGAATGACTTACAAACTGGGATTTTGTTGTTATTGATGAATGCCATTGGTTTTCTCCCTTTTCCAGCTAACCCCCAGCTGAGGAAGATTTCAATGACTGGTTGCTTAACTGAGTTCGGATTTTTAAAAGCAGGGAAAGTGAAGATAGTTAACAATAAAAGGAAAGAAACTGGGACCCAGGAAAAGATAAACTGTGAATATTTAGTATTAATTGGTATCTCAAGAGACAGAGTCTTGGTCTTTGAGCACAGAGAAGAGTCATTACATGGAAAGAGATTTGTTCTGTATTTCCCACCACTTAGAGAGAAAAATATGCATAAAACTCCAGCAGAAACTTTTAACGTTAAATTGCAATAAAAATTTCAGTAAATGAGTCTTATTCATGTCATTAAGTTTCAGGGTAAACTCTCTCTCTCTTCTGAGACAATCTGGAGAGACCTCTATCAGTGTAGTTGGTTTATGGCCAACCCTGTCTAGAAGCAAACAGGAAGGATGCAATGCTACGTATCTTTGCAAAGTTGGGTATACCAAAGAAATAATTACCCTACTTTCTAAAATCCAGTCATTTAAAACTTCGGTCTTATTTTTCTATTACTATTTTCAACCATGCCATTTTCCTCATGATTTCCCATCAGCTTTTCAGAGTTCAACTGGTTCCAAGGTTTCTGTCAGACTGTCCTACCATCCTCCCACTCCTAACTACCCAGCTGCCCCTTGTGTTCTAGCCAAATAAATCTCTTGGCACCATTGTCGTTACACCCACTGCTGCCTCCACATCATTCTCCACCCCCTGTGTGTGGAACTGTCTCCCACTTCCATCTGCCATTTTTCTCTCTTCTCTATCAAGTAATGGCCCCAAAAGCCCACCTCTCCCAGGAAGCCTTCCTTAATCAAGGTTAAGGACTCTTCAAACTGCAACAGACATCACCTAACACTGATGTCTAATGCATCCCAACTTTTCAGAACAGGAGTTACCTTTCAGGGATAAGAGGCAATCCCTTCACAACCAACTAGGGGTGATGGTAGTGGTAAAATGTTTTCTACGAGATATGACTATACAAAAAAAAAAGATCATTTCCACATGTCATTCTTTTTAAAAAATCAAAGCCCTCTGTTTGAATTCCCTCAGGTCCTGAGAGTCTCTTTTTCGTTTCTCATCCCCTAGATGAATCCCTTCCCAGCTGCATGCATATTTACAACAGTCAAAATTTGTGCAGATGCTTCCAACAAAGCACACAATATTTTAATTAGATATTTGAATGTAGAAAGATTTAAACAATCAGTCAACTATTCGATGTGATTTGTGTAGATTCTGACGAAGTTATTTCTATATACAATTTTGTTTCTAACAGAAACAAAATAACCATAAATTTGGGTTCTTATTCTGCAGAAAGGTTTGAGGGCCAAGTTTTACATGTGGTGGGGCTACTTACCCTCTTATCTACTGAGTCCCATATATAAAGCTGCTTTACTTCTGTTTTAAAAGCAGCTTTTATTGCAGCCTAGCCTTTCACCATTGAGAAATCAGGGTTCAAGTCTCAATCCAAGCAGAGCTGAGGTTTGTTGCATCATCTCCATCCTCAGGGGCTTGGTATCCTGGGAAACCCAGGGCAAGAACAGGGTGAGTTCAGGACACATATGACAGCAGACAGTGCAGCGTGATGGGGCGGGCATCCAACACCTTAAGTGTATTTTAGTTACCAGAATATTTGACACACCCACAAATTAAATAGCAAAACATTTTAATCAATTAATTCTAAAAATAACAGAGACATGTTATATCCGGTGCCACCTCCTCAAAAGACTACTACTGCACATTAGACAGGCAGACTGCAAAGTACAAAGCCAGACATTAAAGTTTTTTTTTTTTTTTTCTTTTTTTGAAACAGAGTCTCGCTCTGTCACCCAGGCTGGAGCGCAGTAGTATGATCTCGGCTCACTGCAACCTCTGCCTCCTGGGTTCAAGCAATTCTCCTGCCTCAGCCTCCTGAGTAGCTGGGATTACAGGCGT